CCCCAAAACCCCAAAACCCCAAAACCCCTCTTTAGGTAAATTATATTGAGTATTTATCAATATGGAGAAGATATCTGAAGCAGAGAGGGATTTAGAGGGCAGTGAGAGCCCCAAACCTCAAGAAAGCTCTGGTAGCAAATACGCAAAGAAGATTTTGAAAATAATAAGTCCATATTCCTGAAATCTGCCTGTCTATGAACTGAATGCGTACTCTGAATTAGATGAGACTACTGAAATGCCGAACGGTAATTCTTTTCATATAATTTGTCAAGCATAAGAAAAGGAATCCAACTGATGTTTATAGGCATGGACTGCTCTAAGTACAAAGAAGTTTTATCAAAAATGATTGCAAAAGCAAGAGATCTGTTTCAATTTGACCCTTTGGATAATATGGCCCCGAAGAATGCTCAAAACAGAGTTAGATCGAGGATTGCAAGCGTAAGATATTCAGAAACTTCTCTTTTTATTGTATTATCTGATGCTTCAGGCTTGAAGTCTATATGCCAATTTTTGTTCTGTAAGGGTATGCCATCTTAAGAAGATTTGTACTGACATTTTCTTTGAAGGCGGATTGTATTAGTTCTTACAGTAGTCAAGCTATTTTGTATTTCTCACATAAATGAGAGGTTAAATCCTTGACAAATTTGAGTATAAAGTCAATTAGATATTAACATTGTTTCGAATGTGAATACAATTTTAGTCAGATAGATTCTGGATATATCTTCCCGTTCAATGTTGAGCTAGTACTTCAAAATTTGTTATCTACGTGCATATGACCATTTAAAATCTTTACCAAAGACTTCCTTTTTGAGAGGAGCTTTCATAAATTAAATCTATAGGGATATGGCAGCTACGAGATAGTTTCAACCGGTACAGTATTAGCTGGCCAAGTGAGAGAAGGGCTTTGTAGTTTCATCGATTCTGATTTCCCACCACAAGACTCGAGTATTTCCCCATCTTCAAGTAGTAAGTTAACATTTGTCTAGCTAATTTTTTACAGGACAGCCAAAGGGAATAGTCTGGCTTAGAGCTCATGAATTTATGGAAGAAACTCCTAATTTATTCAAGGATAAAATCAAGTTCGAGGATGTAAAAATGGGCTGTTTAGCAACCTGCTACTTCCTCTCTTCAGTTAGGCAGCTTGTAAATAACCCTGACTTTATAAAAAATGAACTTTTTGTGACCCAAGAGTACAACAATGAAGGAATTTACATTCTAAGTTTTTTTTGGGATGGAGAGCCAAGAAAAGTTATTGTCGATGACTATTTCCCATGCAGATTCAGTGAGAAAAATAAATTTGAGCCAATTTATGCTCAGAATAACAGCAGTGAACTTTGGGTCATGCTTCTTGAAAAAGCTTTTGCTAAGCTAAATGGCTATTATGATGCGCTTAATGAGGGTTACTTAAGTCATCATTTGACTGACTTCACTGGTGCACCTGTTGAGCAAATAAAGATCAAATAAGGACTTTGAAGATACCAAAGCTGCTGAGCAATACTATTCTGGTCTCTTGGAAAGTTTGAACCGAAAGAGGGCCAAAAGATATCTGTTGTTCTCTTCTACTCCTTTAAGAGATGACAATGTAGGATCTTTAAGTTTTGTGGGAAGAATTTGTTTACTGGATTTTTAGCATCAATCCACAAAACCTTTGGGATTTGGGATAGCACTTAGCTCAGACTTTTAACCACTCCCTGATTTTGGCTTCATAAATCCCGGCCTTTGGGCAGGAAATTTTGGAGTTTCCTATTCCTTGAAACCAGGATGCTGGTCTGAGCCAGTCTCTTTTGTGTAAAAGAATTGGGAATTCTTAAATGAGCTTGGAGCTACCAGAGTAGAGCAGGATGCGGATGCTTGGATTTTATGTCTCAGGCATAGTTAAAGCTGATTAATTTGGGATAAATAAGTAGTCAAGATGTGGCCAGACTTTTCTCTAGGTTCTCATTCTATCTAGTCTGAGAATTTCCTCAATGTAATGTTTATAAATTGTTTAGTTGTGCTCATTTAAGACTACTCCCTCATCAGCGTTGATTTTGCTATTATGGCTAAGTGTCGCTTACCCCCCCCATTTTTGGTTTAGGATTTCAGGAAGATTTTAGACGTTTTAGTTTCATAAATTTTTTAGACCCTTAACAATAAAAGTCATTGCATGGACATAGGAATAGTATTATAAGAACTGTAGAGACATTCTATGGCTCAAGATCTATATTTTGGATAATGTGAAAAGATCTGAGTTATCCTAGAGCCTTCTATTCTCTTTGGAATCTAATTGTTCGTTATTTGTCATAACAGAAGAAATTGGCTTTTGGATTCTCCCATTAACAAATATTGAGGAAATATATCCATTTAAGTAATTTATCAATATTTAGCACCAATCGAGGGGTTTTGGGGTTTTGGGGTTTTGGGG